AATGTGTCAGTGGTCAAAGTAAGTCCTTTTCCCTCCTGCCAAAGTCAGCTGAAACTGGAGATGAAGCTGGAGAAAGTAGCAGTGGTGCAGAACTTCAGACCCATTTTCTTTTAGATCTAACAAACCAAGAAGAATGGCAGTCATCTTTCAGCTCTACAGCTCATTCTCTTTCTACTCTCTGCAACAAATTTCTAAGTCCCTCTTGCCTAGTTTCCATCTGCGGCTTTCAAGAAACAATTCACATGAATGTTGCCGTAGGCAATGTGCTATATTGATATCAGTGCAAATTGCTAAAGAATGAAGAACATAAGGACACAGTGAAGAGACATTCAAGGTAAATAACACTACATATGGTGTAATCTGCTAAGGACCTTGAAGGGAAAAGGTGTTCCTGTGGATTAAGGAAACAATGGAGGGACTGAACTGTGTTCAGCTGGAGCCCTATCATTCCAAGGTACCAATTTAATGCTATCATAGTTTTTATTATAAATATTATTTTTTGTTGTCTGAGAGACACAATCTTTCATTTCAGTTAGCTTTTGGAGTTGAATTTCTTAATATTTGGAAAAGGCTATTTCTTAAATGGCAGCTGATTGGAAAGGGCAAAGTGGTATCCTAAAATGTATAGGCCATGAGATTTTGCAGCTTCACTTCATCAAAACTGTTGACTACAAAATTAACTGTCTAAACTTTCCAGTACTATGTGAAAATATCACACCACGTATGTATATATACCATAATGGCTACTACGTGTAGATCATACATTTGGCTGACTTAAATCTGAACATTCAGAATCAATTACAATATGTAACCAGCATGAGTGATTTTATAACACCTGTTCAATTGCTCCCACGTGAAAGTGATGAAGAATCTCTCCCTTAGGCAGAAAAATTTTGTATGGGATATTGTGAACATAATGGGGCTTTTCTAGCAAAATTAAGCAGGGTGCTTGTATCAAGAAGGTAGTTATTATGAGCTCTGTTGGTTACACTGCAATTGTTCCAAGTAGAATGTAAAAGTGCAGCCACAAGAGGGAGGCAGGAGTACTTAAATGATAGCATAAAAACTGGCAGAACACAGAAATAAATCAGAGAACTGTGTTTTCAAAATATGCCTCTTCGTGCTAAAATCCCCCAATAACACTCTTATTGAGAGCAATGACTGTTAGCTGTAAATTCTGTAGAAATAGGTTTATAGTGCTTAATATGTTAAATGATCAATGTATACTGAAAATAATACGTCTTTAATTAAAAGATGCATTATTTAATTAAAACCTGAAAAATAGCAAAGAAATTACTATGTAACAAGCTGAAACTGATTTTCCCGTGATGGTCACTCTCAGGTCTCACCCGAGCCTTCTCTTTGTTCCAGACTGAACAGACCCAGAGCTCTCTCTGCCTGTTCTGACAGGGGAGGTGTTCCATCCCTTGAATCATTTTTGTGGCCCTCCTCTAAATTTCTTAACAGCTACAGAAATTGCAATGAAAGATTGACAAACCCATCCAGTACCCTGAACACTTGAAATCTTTGCTCACTCTTATTCTGTCTTGAACTGTTTTCACCTCTGGCTGTCAGTCCTGTCCTGCCAGCTTGTTTCAGACAAGGAGGAAAAGGGAATCAAAAGTCTTTCACCTACCTCTGGCACAGTGCTCTAACCATTGTGCAAATTTATAAAGCACATTGCATACTCTGGACAAAACAGCAGATGAGACTCTTCAGGAGAAAAAATGCAGGAGAATGTTTGGCTTGAAATTGTGTTTGGCTATTTAACTGTGTAAGGTAGATTGACACATAGAAATTCAAATCCTTTGGGAGTGTCGTCCAAGTGCTTCTTCAACTCCATCAGCACGGGGCTCTGCCCACTGGAGGAGCCTGTTCCATGCCTACTGCCCTCTGGTGAAGAATCTTTCCCTACCATCCAGTCTGACCATCATCTGATGCAGCTCCACGCCATTCCCTTGGGCCCTAGTGCTGCTCCCAGAGAGCAGAGCTCAGTGCTACGCCTCCACTCCCTGTGAGTCCATGAGGCCTCCTCTCAACCTGCTCTACTCTGGGCTGAACAGATCAAGGGATATTGGAGATATTTGAAGTGCCTTATGAACACAAAATTAAATTCAGTCTTTAGATAGGTTTGAGTCCTACTATCGATGCTCTGCAGAACAGTGAAAGACAACAACTTTTTTGTGGTTCAGTTCAAGATCAAATTATACTGATCCACAAGCCACCTATTATTTCATAACATTCATGTTGTTGTTATTATTATTATTATTGTTATTCTGGCCTATTTTTTCCTTTTGTTCCTATGGTCAGCATTTGCAGACTGGGATTCTTCAAGTTATATTTTTTTTGGAAGATCAAGGCTAGTCCCAGGACTTCATGAGATATTAACATATTTTTCTCTGATGAGATGATAACTTCAGCACATTCTGTTTTGCCACCCACACTCCCCTGGTTGTTCCTCTCATGCCAGCTGTCACTTCCTGAATGCCAGGGACATTCACTGCTCCTGTGCAAAGGATAGGTAGAACAGCTTGCAAAAAAAATTATCCTGCTGACTGATGCAGTGCAAACAAGATTTTGATTCAACTACAGGAGGGGATGGAAAAAGATGTCTCTAATCATCACTTGGTCTGCAATTTTGGTTTTGTTTCTCTTTTTGTTTCTCTAATATGAGCCAACAGTGTGCTCTTGTGGCTCAGAGGGCAAATGGTATCCTGGGGTCCATCAAAAGAAGGGTGGCCAGCAGGGACAGGGAGGTGATTGTCCCCCTCTACTCTGCTCTTGTGAGGCCCCATCTGGAATACTGCGTCCAAGTGTGGAACCCGCAGTACAAAAAAGACAGGAAGCTGTTGGAGAGGGTCCAGAGGAGGGCCAGTAGGATGATCAGGGGACTGGAGCACCTCCCCTCATAAGGACAGGCTGAGGGATCTGGGCTTGTTCAGCCCGGAGAAAAGAAGGCTGCGGGGTGACCTCATTGCAGCCTTTCAATACCTAAAGGGAGCCTACAGAGGGGAAGCCTGGTTTAGCATTAAATGTGGAGGTTGGTGGCCCTGCATGTGGCAGGGGGTTTGGAGATTCATGATCCTTGAGGTCCCTTCCAACCCTGGCCATTCTGTGATTCTGTGATTCTCTTGACCAGAAGACAGAACTCCCCTACTGTTCTGCCTGCATCTGTGAGCTTTTGGAGCTTTCCCAGTGTATTCTCTTTCAATCTAAGTGCTCCAAACAGGCTGCACCCCAACATATTTCTCAGGCTCCACACAGAGAAGTAGAGCTTTCTTTTTTTTCTGTTCTGCATAAGAGAAACCCTTACAGAGGCTCTCCCCCTTAGGAAATTACTTTCAGATGTATTCACAATATATTTCATCCCATGCCTTCAGAAGCTCTTTAGGCTACATTACTTGTTCCAGGTATATCTATAGCCCCTGGGGAGGCAGCAGCTGGGATCCTGTGAACAGCAGCAGCCTTCTGCACCATGGAAGGACCAGCCTGCCCTGACCCCTGCACTGCAGCACGTCTGCCATTGGGGTTGCATTGTGGTTCCCCAGTGCAGCTGCTGGAACTGCTACAGCCACTCCTCTCCATCAGGTTGTGCTGTTCCATCACTCAGGATTGAAAAAGAAACCTTTCATAGCTGGTGTTTGAAAAACAATTCCAACTACTTCTTTTTTTTTTTTTTTTAATGGCTGTTTGTATCAGGTTTCTAATCCTGTGACCACAAGGACAGAAGTTTTTTTTCTGAGACTCATGTGTTTCATGTTTCAGATGCATCTGCTGCGGCATAGAACTGCTGCAGCAAGATTCTGGATGAGAAACAATAGTCTCTTTCTGTTTCGCTTTACCTCAACTAACCTTCAGCAGTTTTTTGACTACTCATAAGTTGTCAGCATATCTGAATCAGATGGTAAGAGCAGCCATGGCAACTGTGAGCACTGGGAGAGAACTGTGAAGTCTTTTCCCTCCAAACTGTGCTGTCTCACTCTAATGATGGCTTTTGTTTGGGTACTCTTTGTGCTGGCACTCTGACATCTCCATCTCTTGCAGAGAAATATTTTGGCTTGTCTTGAAGGACTGCATTATTGCTGAGGAACTTTAAGTTGCATGTTTTGAAACTTTCTGGTTTTTATATAACTCATTTCTAAGCCATTTTGCAGATTGTGAAGTTATGATGGCAAGTCTAATCCCACACTCCCAATGTAATACTATCTAATCTAACTACACTAATACTAATGTCCATGAGTATCTGAATAACAGTAAATAAAGTGCTATTGCTACTTAACTTTCCTACTTAACTTTCCTCCTTTCTTATGGCTGACATAATTTACTCTTGAATAATGAACGTAAGGAATCATTCCCTGTGTGTCTCCATTTTCTTATACTATAAAACAACTGACATACATTTAGTATGTTAGCGAGTTAGTTAGTGAGTTGTACTGTGGGCTCAGCAAAAATCTAAGCAGCCCTTATAATGGGCATCTGATTTCCATCAGTCAGTGAGACTGTCCACCTCTTCAGTCTGACACAGGGAGTGCTTTTGAGAGAGTGACTATGAGAGAAGTGGAAAAATGTATTGAATGATATACCGCTTATTTAAACTTGAAAGAAAATGAAGAATTGTATCAGAGGATTCTGTAAATTTTTCTGACATTATCCTTATCCTTGTTTTGCAGAAATATATTCTGATCACAAGAAGATCCCATTCAGAGCTTTACTGTTAGAGTGTAAAAGTTTAAGAGATCTGCTAGGCAGAAGTTTCAATTCTCAATTACTTTGCTTCAGGACAACTTCATGGAAAACGTTGGATTCTCTACTATGATCTGTTGAAAGATTCAAGCTCTAGACCTGATACATTTTCTTTGCAGTCTATCTTTCAGTCTAGGTGATCAAATCCATTCAAAACATTTCATTTTCCTCCTCCAAATTTAAGAGGATTGTTATCGAGTTATCAGGACATATAGCACATGCTACATACAATTTGAATTTCACAGTGAAATTGTGGATATGGTGTTTCATCTTAACATTTATTTAAGTTTTCCCATATTTTAAACAAAACATTACATCCCATTTCAACCCATAAAATCAAAAGGAAAAAAAACCCCACCACTTCTATAAAGTTAACCAGTGTATAGACTTTCTCATTTTACAGAACAAAAAGATAGGAACATGTTACTAAACAATTATCAAACCAATCAATGTCAATAGTGCAAAGAATGGACTGCAAGTAGAGGGGAAAGAGGGAGAGAGAGAAGGATGGATGGTCGGATGGATGGGTAGATGGCTGAACAAAACAAGGCTAGGAACAGTGATGCCCATTATCAGAGAAAATTTCCTATCTCAGACAACTCACGATGTAGAAATAATTTCTATGGCAGAAGAGGGTAAGTACTTCATCAATAAGTGATATGTGTTCTGCACTGACCAGTTCTGGAGATGAGTACAGCCATAAAAACAAGTTGCCAAGACTTACAGAAAAGAATTTTTCAACCTCTTGAGCAGAGGTAACCTATGAGGGCCTTGATTATTCAAGGGCAGAGGGAAATTACTGAGTTTCATACAAGCAACAGACAGAATAATTACCTCAGGCTGAACTTTGTTGCTCTTGTGCGAGAAATTGTTCTCAGTTCTGGAGGGTGAATAACCAAGAGAAAAAAGAGTTTTAGAAGCTACTGAATCATGTGGACAGGTAGACCAACAGGACTTGGGTGTCTTGCCAATATGTCAGCCAGCAACCCACCAGGAAAGGTAGATTTCTGTGATGTTTCTTATGATACTGTTGCAATGATGAAACTACAATCTGTCTCCTTTAGAGGATGACTAAATTTGAATCTAAATAAAATCAAAGGACAAAAATATCATTGGTTAGTTACAGTATTCCTCAGCTGAATTCACCCATTTTCCTTTGCTAACAGACTATGCATATAGTTAATACATGTAAGAGGATTTCACTAAAATTAGCTCAGCTGCCAGGAGATGATCTTCATCTTTACCTCCTGTGATCAAAGACCGATTCAGCTAATTTTTCTAGGCAAAATTCCCTGCAATACCTCAAGTACCACAGCACAAAATGAAGCAAAGTCATAATGAAAAATAAAAAGTTCAAAGTGGGAATAGCTTCAGGGAGTAAATGTATGCTTACCTTGAAGGCACATTTCCTGCATGGAACATTTTAGTACTACAAAGCTTTCAAATAAAACAAAGACAGTGATTATATCTTCATCAAAAGGAGTGTTACACTGAAACTATTTAAAGAAATTCTTCCCCAAGTTAAAAAAAAAAAAAAAAAAAAAAAATGCTCTAAAGGCCTGTCTTATATTTAGCAATTTCTGCTACGCTAAAATGGATAAAGCCCTCAGTTCTTTTCCCCTCACCTCCAACAACGGTCTGTCTAAATTACTGCTCTACCCCTACGGTTCACATAGATGAGGTTCATATGTGGAAGAATTGGCACAACTTAATTAAGCAAGAACGATGACAGCCTCAACAATGGCACTTAGGAGCTCAAGTGTTCAAATGCTCAGTACTTATCATGGATGCAGATTGGAAAGATCTTTGAATGGTGCCACTTGATTGTATCAACATTATATTTTCTGAACATTTTGGTTGTTAGTGCTCTTTTGAAAAATCAAACTACTCACACTAGTGATTCAATGGGAACTGTGTTCGCAAATACGATCTTTTGAAACTCTGTGTGAGGATTTCATATCTCAAAAATTCATACTTTTGAAAATTCAGTGGCAAGAACATCACAAAGATGTCCCCCAAAGATCAAAATGGATTAAAATAGCTTTTTTATAAACCTCAACACTCCATCAGTTTTGGCTGCATAAACTCCTGCAGTCTTGGAAGAGATTCTTCTGTCATTCAAATAATTGTGTAAGAGAGATTAGCTTTAGGCCCATACTCTTGTTTTCATTCATTAACTTCTACTTTAAAGAAAATAAATAATCAGTAATAAAGGAGTAGAGAAATGAAGTAAATCCAGAAAACTCCAGTATGTTAATCTTTCAGTTTTTGGGAACTGAAATATTTTTATGGTGGAGGTATGATAGAGACTGAAGTGTTTGGAATTCAACTGAGATGGAAAGTGAAATTCCTCTGATTTTTTTTTTTCCCCTTCATTAAAGAGTACAGCATACTTTTTCTTATTTGCTATTATGTGTTAGTATTTTCAAGGGATGAGGGAAAAAATGCAGAAATTCGGACACAAAGTGTCTGAATGCAGTTTGTCCACATCTCACACTTTCTCAGCAACATCTCAGAACACATTCAGTTTTGACTTGCTGGATTTCTTGCTGGTCATTTTCAGGAATTGTACACTGAGGGCTACAGTAAAAAAAAACAGGAAAAATACCAACAAGGCCTTTGAAACATAAAGTGGTAACAGAGCCGAGAATCAGTCATGAATTCAGCTCCATGCTGTCAGATATTTCATAACATATGCATTGTTATTTAATAAATAGTTCCTGACAATATATCACTAATTTTCATCCATGGATCTCAAAATGCTCTGTGAAAGTTAATAGCATTCTTCCCTTTAAAGTGAGATGATGCAAAATTTAGTATTAGCTGGTGTACTCAGAGAAGCTCTCTGGGCTTAAGTAATATTATATACTTATTATTGAGAAGTCCTAGTAGGACTGAGACTTGATATATTTACGGCAGTGTACATTTGCCAGAGGTTGTGTAGTAACATGGCTGTGTAAATATTTATCACTAGGCATAAAAAAAAAAAGAGGCATAAAAAGGCATTTAGAAGTTCCCTACAGTTTGGTCTAAATTCTACCACTGCCGGTTACAGACTCAGTATAATTAATCTCATGCTTTATTCTGGACTGCAGTGATTTTTATAGGAGTCACAGTGAAAGTAGTAAACCAGGATTGAATATTAATTTTCTGTTATACGAAATGTAAAATAAAATAAACTTATAAAATTATAAACAAGCTTTCATTTTAACTCATTCAAATACATTGCCAAGGTTTTCCATACCTGTGATTTTAAAGTCAGTAGAAATCTTTCAAAAGATAAATGATTTAATAAATTTCTTTTTTTTTTTTACATTAAAAACTATCTTCAGACAAAATATTATGGAAGCCATGGAAACAGATATAAAAAGTAAGTGTTCTGAACACTGTTCTCTTTTCTGAAAAAATATATGAACGAGTGATTTTTGCCTTCTGCTTGCTTTTTTTTTTTTTTTTTTTTTTTTTTTCCAGAAAGAAGGTTTGAAACTTGCTTCTACTTTCAGTTAACTGGAGATCTAGGAGTCTCCATGATGGAAGCTTGTTTCTAATTTTTGAAAAAATATTTTGTGTCTCAGTTACCTGGGATTTTATAAAGATAGCCGCAGAAAAATTACTTACATGGTAGGTTAAAGATAGAAGATGAAAGCAATATTGTGTAGCAAACAAGGAGAGACTTCCAAGGAGTTTGGGGAAGGCAAAAAACCTTGTTAAAGTAAAACTGTTCTGACATTTTCGATAACCATCCATCTTATCCTTTCAAGAGAGCATAAAACAAACAAACAAAAACAACCAACAATGTATTTCCCTTAAATATCTTTCTATTTAGGAATGATCTAATTTCAGAGAAGTCCCTTCAGTATCATCTCTACTATAACACATTCCCTGTTACTAGCAGCTGTAACCCTGTTCAGTCAAAATAACAGGACAGCCCTGAGTAGCACACGAAAATTCTAAGAAATTGCAGGATTCTTGCAGCTTGTCCAAACCCCATGAAAACGTGCACAACGACAGCACAGTTCAGAGAACAAGGCAGGAAAGGGTAAGTAGAAGAATGGTTACATGATTAGCTGTACTGCCAATAGCTTGTTTGCTCGATGTTTACTATGTTTAACATGTAGAATCTGTTGATTCTCCATGATGATGCTCCAGGGTTTTCAATCTGTTGATGACTTCAAAAATGAAACTTCATATCACTGCTTCACTTGATGTTCCCTGGGTTTTATTTGACAGTTCAGAAGGAAGTGAATCTGCTGATGACCAAACCAAGCAAAATACAGGAAAAATGCCTATTGCAGGAGGATAAGATCATGAGATGAAGACTGCTTTCAGATTTGGCTGTGATGGTGTTCAGTGCAGAACCCAGATGGTGAAGAAGCACAAAAAGCAGGCTTGACTGTAAAGTGACTCATTCTGTCAATACATCAAACGTATTGGTGATAAGTACTTTAATTGTTCCAGCCCATGGGTCCACTCCAAACAAATTACTGGTGACCTTCTTCTCAAGATACAGTTAATTACAGGAAAAATAAAACTCTTGAAAGCATTATTTTAAAAGTAATACTCCATACTTTTAAAAGAAAAATACCAAAATCTGCAAGTCCTTTCTTCCAAGTCTGTTAGTTTGACTACACCTCTTGGGACTTGAACACTGATATTCCTTCACTGTATGGCACATTCACTGAGATTTGCAGCATCTTCTCCCTTTAGGTCCTCACTCAAGCTTTTCTTCTGCTCTATTTCTACCTGATAGAGGAAAAACGACATTGATAATGAGAAAAAAACCCACAAAAATTGAAAAATCCTTAGAGGTCACTGCTCAGATGATGCAAGTCTTGGTAAAATGAGAGGATTGTAAAGAGTAATAGATTGAGGAGGGAAAGATGGATTTGATTTTCTATAAAGTTTTGAGTCAAATCCAAACAATTTTATAACTCAACAGCGTCATAACAATTTCTGGAAGAAAAAACATCGAGAATAGAATTGGTCTCATTTTTTTTTCATTCCCAGTCCCATCTATATTTTGAATCCAAACCCAGAACCAAACCTGCAGAGGTGGCTTTCTACATGACAGCAGGAGACTAGTCTCAGTTTTAAACTCTGCAAAGCAACTGATGAAAGCAAAGAGATTTATTTGCAAAAGGCACATCTATATCTTTTTTCTAAATTTTGATACCTCCAAAAATTCAGGGACAACTGAGTGTTTAATTCTTAGAAGGGATAGTTAGGAAGATCAAATATAATCTCTCTGAAATTTCAGATACTACTAAAAATCTAATAGTATTTCACATTAAAAATATTTGCCATGAGAATCTTTTCAGTATCTCTCATAATTGTTCTTACAGAAGGAGGTAGAATGCCCATTTGTCAGCTGAGTGATCATCTACCATGCAAGTCTGGCATACTAAGATTCTTGGCAGGTATACATATTGTGTGTTTTCCCATCTGTTTGTCTCCTTAAGGCAAGCAGAAAAAAATAATAAGCACAGAAGAAATGTTATCCTTTTGTCTGCTGCAGCACACTCCCACTGTAAAACTCCCACTGTAGAAAAAGTCTCTGTTCACACTCCTACTTTATCAGCTTTTCCCCAGGAACTGTTGTATGCATGCTCTTCCACAAAGCCACTGTAAGAAGTGTTAGCCCATTTTCACTGAGCCATAATCCTCAGCTTGTCTGCCATGAATCTGCAGGCTGCACATGGGGAGCCACTGCAACAGAGCCTGACATATCAAATTCCCATTGGTTTGCCTAGACTTTTCAAGACAATGAAGTATGCAAAGTAACCATGGTGACAAATGCTCATTTTTACCTTGTAACTGTAGTGTGCTGAATAGTTGACCCACTTTCTCACACCAATCTTGTCCTCAACAGAGATGGACCGAACAGTGGCTTTGGATGCAGAAGTAGTGGGCATGTCAAATTCCACATCTACATGACGGACAAAACTGGAAGGCACTTCCCGGTCAGAGCCAAGCTCTAGGTGACAGAAGAAGCAGTGTGGATGGCCAGAAGCTGGAAAAAGAGACAAAACAGTCACGAAAGTTGTCTTGCTTTGTTGAGAGAAGATTGCACCTAGGTAAAAGCAACAACATGAAACAGCAAGAAACTGAGAATCTGCCTGGGTGAACTACTTTGCATCAAGTGTCAGGATCTTATCTGTTTTAATGGCATTGAAACTCCATATGCTGGAGTTTCAGCTCAGTTTAATTAGTCAGAGTAAATAAATTAAATGAACTGCAAAAAAATGACTGTCAATCAGTCCAATTTGCTTTTAGTGGGTGACAATTCAAGATGTAAATCAACCATCATAGGTAAAGATATTTTCCTTCTTATTCTCTGAGTCTATTTAACATGCTAAGAACACTGTGGCATATCCTTCTAAAATATCATGCATTGATAGTAAGTAAAGGTAGATTTGACAGATATCTCATATTTATTTTTGAAATGGCTATCCCCATATATTGTGAAAGCAAACATACTGGATAACATTAAACTTTCCTGGGTTCAAAAAGCATATTTGTACACATCTTGGAAGTAACAATTTATTCATCATTCTAACCCTCCACAAGATGGCTAGTCATTAAAGATGGAAAGGTGAGAAACCAACCGTGTTTAGTTCTGTCATCAGTACCTGATAACTTTTTGCTATTATATATTCTTCACCTTGTTTTGCTGGACAGCACATATGTTTAAAAAAACGAAGTAGAACTGCTAGTTAAGTTAGATTTGTTATATTTTTGACTACTGTCAACTCCCTAAGCTCTTGAGCAAGCCATTTAGGTTTTGTGCCTCCCTTTCTCTCTCTGCCGAATGAGGATGAGAACACTCACAGCCACTTTGGGATTTCTGACTGAAGGGATCCCATTATAATTTTTTTTGTAAAAACAAAACAAACCGAACAAAGAAAAGCAATCCCAAGCTCAAAAAGAAAGATAAATAATATTCCCCTCCCAGTGCAAGGCACAGCAGCCCTAGTTCTGGTAACTGCTGGATATGGCCTAAACTGCATTTTCTCCTAACTTCATTTTCTGGAATGACTGAAAAGTTTGGGCAGAAATTCAATTTAAGAATTTCCCCAAACTTAGCATATAATACTTCAGCCTACAATGTTAACCTGTAGCAGAACACATAAGGCTCTGAAGTGTGGAATGTCCAGACACCTTAATAAGAGGCTCCCTACCTGTCCTACTTACATTACAGGAAAGCTGATCAAGGTAGAGAGCCTTCAGAAATGCCTACAGTTGTAGTTTAGAGTTAGGAACAACCTGATCCCATGAAATATTTATTTCATTAATTTGAATTAATTCAAATAGTAAGAAATATCTGAATTTATTTTAATTCACTTTACAATAGAATTTCACTAATTTAATTTCTTCCAGTAGGAATACCAACTACAAGAAAAGTCCACGCACAATGCTCAAAGAAATATAGAAGCTATTAATGTAAACCAGATCAGCATAGTAGACAACCAAGCAAACAGATTATGAGAGCAATTCCACCACTGAAAGAAATACTGAGTAAATCAGCGTTCATTAGTAACCTGAGGCACACAATGGACAATTTCCGTGCACCTTGTGTGTGCTCAGAAGGCTCATTCGGAGCTCCCTCTACAACCGACACATGCACTTTTCTAATAAAATCAGGAGGAAATCACCAGACTGATTTTCTTCTGAGCCTCCTGCTTCCTTGAGCTACTAGCATTCCATTATGACTATCATGGACCTTGTAATGTAATTCATAAAGACACTTGGCTTACTGTGATTGGAGGAAATCTGTTTCAAAGCCCTCTGATGTCCTAACATGTTTGCATTACAGGATTTAATTTACTGCAGGGGGTGCAGCAGGCAGCATTTTGGGGACCCTCAACCAAACTGGGCTCAAGTTCAACATCCTGACCCAAGCCCCACTCAGAGGCTGCAGCCCTGCCCCATTCCAGGAGTGTTTTCCCATGACTGGTGGCTGGTGTATGTTTTCTTAACATTCTGCTGGTGGATTAATAAAAAACAGAAACACCTTGAGCCCAGACTGCTGTATGTGAAACTCTGCAGGGCCTTTCTTTGTCAAATGCTGTGACTTTCTTAGTTGTGAATAAGAGAAAGGCAGTATAACATTTACTAAGTTACCTTATAAATGATTTCAACAATATGCTCATTAAAATGCAATCCACGTTAGTTTTCTAGGTCAAATTATAGTCAGAGTACACACAGTCCTTCAACTGTCATACACTTTCCAACCCATAGTCAGAAGCAAACACTTTGTCTAAGGCAGTTCATTAGTGGACCAGACACCTAAAGGGACCCAAAGTGTTGCCAGGGGTGAGCTGCAGGTGCGGTGGTAAGAGAGCATTGAGTACGAGTTCAAGGAACATTCTTATACTTAGATGTTGAAAACACTGTCATTTATAGAGACTGCTGTAACTGGGAGGAGATGAGCTATTGTGTAAACCTGTGAGTAGGGCTGGATACTATCAAGAATGCACAAGGTTGGGAGCAGACTATGCATTCTTATTATGTGATCAGAAGTGTATGTGGTCCATCAGCCAAATCTAAGAAGGAACAGGAATAAACTTCCCTAGTTCACCCTCATAAATCAATGTTCTTGAGTGGTTCCGTGTACACCCCTCTTTGTTTGCCTCATACTCTGAGTAAGGAAAGCCATGGAATGAGTACTGTCAAGAAATGTAAATAGCCCTTGAGAGACAAGGTTAGAATTGAGCTACACTTAACCTATCCTGTCATCACTTTTAGATTCCTTCCCTCTCATATACCCCATGCGTCCCTGCCAAGGCAGTGCTTGCAAGGCCCTTCCTTTCCCTGAAATTACATCTGGCCTGACCGGAGAGGTGAGGACACTCTCTTCCTTTCAGGATGTAAACAAATACTACAGCCCTGTGCACTGCACAGTGACACTGATGGATAGGTGCTCTGTGGCAGGGTGCCAGCAGCAGTGCCGAGTGTGATTCATTTCCCCCTGACACAGGGCATGTGTAATGAAGCCTAACACTGGGAGGGACAAGATAAAGGAAGCAAGAGCTATAGATAAACATCTCCCTTGGAGCTGCAGTGGGTAAGAGAGCATTGCCTTGCAGCAGACTGAACAGAGCCAGGAGTTCTGTCTCTTCTCCTTGTTTGCCACAGGCTTCTTCTGTGGTTGTGTTAAAGTCTGGGGGCTTACATTTTCCCAGCTGAAACATCAGTATGGCGTAATGAGATCTTTGGAAAGGAGATGCCACAGAAGGCCCAGTTTCACAGCATCTCATTCCCAGAGCTTATACAGATGGCACAGTGAGATTTTCCTCACAAGCAGGTTGTTGCTCATACACAGCCCGAGGTTAATTTTTCATTGCAATATTTTATGAGTTCCCAAGCTCTCTCTCTTCTTATGACCTGCATTACAGAAAACATGGAGTCCTCACTTTTGTCCATGATATCCCTACAAATTTGTAACCTATGGTGTAACCTGGTGTCTCTGGGCTGAAATGTGATCCAAAAGCTTAGAAGACCTGGATCAATGTTTAGCTAACACTGCAGCCTAAACTTGTGATAAACAAGTGCATTTAGAAAGTGTCAGATATGATCCAACACTAAACTTTTTTAAGGAAACACCAAACAGTGTTTATAAAACCCACTCAGTCATAGAGCTGCATTACTACAACACCAATACTAAAAATATGCATACATTTTAAAAAGTTTAGATGAAAAAAATCAAGAAGTAGAGTTCACTGTATGTAAAAAACAAACCTAATTTATCTTGATATTATATTATATTGATATCTTGCCCAGAATGAAGAGTTGGAAGTGGAACAAATAGCAGCAATGGCCAAAGTGAACAGTAGCTTGCACATATTATTTGAATGTTTAATTACTAACAATTTAGGAGAAATGCAAAGACTTGTGGATTTTACGTTGGTATTTTCTCTTTGAGATTAAGCTGCATTTACCTGTCTGCACTGATCACAGAAGCATAACCACAACTAGTAACAGCAGAACATTCTTTATAATAGTTGCACTATACTTTCTGCCCTCTTACAACCTCCCACTCCAAACACTAAGGATTAATTGCAGTGTACATGTCAAAGTACATAGCACTGGCCAGTGTGTTTGCATGGCAATGGCGATGAATGGAAATGAAATACAAAACAAATGTGTTAGAACTACAGCACATGACTTGTTATTTAGTCACGTAGCATAGTATCTTGTCTTTGGAAGTCAACCAGAACAGCCTTGCTTCCAATAACAGTGCTAAACACACAGAGATGTTTGATGCAGAAATTCCATAGCGTACTCATAAAAGCTGAGAAAGAAGGCATATTTTTGCATTTGGAAAACCCCAATCAGTTTTTATAATTAGCAGTGTTGGCAGGATAATTAAAACTACTGCAATGAAGGGTCAGATAAATGTAGTGTGTAACTATCTGATGCCCTTCACTGCAAAGAATGATTTATCTCTCACCTTGTAAACACGGTATTCCCTGTCTTCCAAAACACATAACTTCTTTAAGTTTACTCCTGTAGAGATGGTATGCACAACTCACCTGAGTTTTTGTCAGGCAGTCGGTTTATTCTCCATACAATGGAATTAAAGGCATGCTCATATTTGGCAGTTCCCAAGGTAACTCTCATGACTGGCTCAGAACCAGACAGACTGGTTGATCCAAAAGTAGCCCCCTTATTCACCTTGGCTTTCAAAGATTTTTCCCCCAGGACACTTTCCCGGCGGAAGTTCTTCACCCACTCATTTGGCACTGGGTAGCGGATCATAACATTTTCACAAGGGACCTGAGTTAAAGGGTCACGATTAGAAGAGAATGCAGTGGACATCATCAGCCAGCTCTGTATCTCCACCTCAGCACCATTGATGCTGGCTGCTGTCCTCAGTGTGAAAGGCAAAGTTTTCTCAGCAAAAACAGTTCTGAATCGCATCAGTTCAAATCGGCAAGCATCCAAGGGGTTAAACAGGATAATACGAGAGTTATTAAACATGTCCTCATCCACACATGAATGGAACCGACAGCTGTATAATTTAATCCACTTTGTGGTAGTAGTGGGCATAATGTCTTGCCTTGCAACTATTTCATTCCCTTTGATTAGGATATCGTTAAGACCCAGTCTGCATTCTGCCAGGCCTGAAAGGAAGCTTAGAACATATATATGCGTCAGCACACTGTGCTGGAGAATCACACTGTCTCCTTTGGCCAAAATGCCATGAAACTCATCCCTGACATCAACAGTAATTTCTTCTTCTTGATAGTTTAGTCCCACTGTGCTCAGATCTGTTGATGAGGCTGGCAGGTTCATCAGCGTGTCTTGCACAGCACTGATGAAGCTTAGGAAGTCCTGATAATCTGTAGTACCAAGCTTGATGATTTGCTCTCTCTCTGCTGTGTGAGCAATGGCTGGTTTAGGCTGATACTTCTTTTTCTCCTTGTAGGTTGTGCGATCCAATCTCACACTGTGTATCCTTCCATTCTCATCATAGTTCTGCAGTTTGCGCTCTGAAATCTCATGATTGATTTCAAGTTTGAATTCACGGAAAGGTTTCTCTAATCCTTTCTCATAAAAAAGCTGAATATATCCACTGTCAGTCAGCTTCACGTATATTGGTCCCCAGTGCCTGGATGACATAATATTCTTCTTCTCTGGGATTCTGAGCATCATTGGCCATCCATCCTTTGGCTGAGATGGTGCCAGGTTAAATAAAGTGGCATCTGGATCATATGGCATTGTTGGGTCATCATCGGGCAAGGTAGGGCTGCTCACATAATCTGGGTCTCCAATCTGGAGTTGCTTCAGCTGCTCCACAGCATCTACATGAGTTACACTTTTGTTTGCCTCTTGGAAACTGATGGAATCGGGTTCATGATGGAGAATAATGAGGGAGTCTCTTTGGCTTTTGCCTGGAACACTGGAGACAGAAGAGCTTTTGGAACGCCTGTCTCGCTCCTCAAAGAATGAGCTGAATGGATTGATGGGTGAGGGTTGGACATCTCGAAGAGACTCATCCAAGAAGGGATTAGTAGCACTCCATGGTGGTGTTTCAAGAGAAGGCAACTTAGTTAAAGAAGAGAGATCCAGTTTTTGAATTTTGGAGAGGTCACCCAATGTGCTTTTGGGACGTTCTCGTTTCTTAAATGATGCAGTGAGGTTAAAGTTAACATCTGGAGCCTGTGTTTCTGGAGGTGAGGTGTCTATTTTCAAAGGAGAAAGATTCTGTGGTGAACAACTGATTTCATTGTCATCAAAAGTCACCCAGCTGGGAAAGCGAACTGTGGTTGGTGCAGCAGAACGGCCATTCATGGAGGTGTTGTTCAGCTGCCAGTTGACAGCCTCCATATCTACCTCTTCATCTTCTTGGAAAGATGAGGAACTGTCTTTAAAAAAAAAAAAAAAAAAGAGGGGAGGGGAGGAAATTTCAGCTAATTATTCTGAAATTATCTAGTTCTCTGCACTAAAAGAAAAGCGCTGTCTGCACAGTAGCATGCAGTGTGAGAAAGATAGAAGAAACTTGGATAATATTCTGTAGAATATGGCAAGAATTAATAAAGAAATAGATTCACTTTTAAATAGGCAGTTGAACACAGAAAAGGAAAGCAGGAAGAAGTACAGAAGGAATGATAATAGTGATTGTACCTCTTTGCTCTCATTCCAACACAATGACCTAAGAAAAAAAGGCACCATTTAAGGTGCCTAGGTGGCATTTTTACCCTAGATGTTTTCAGAAGATGTGCTCTGTAGCTTACACAGTGGGAAATTGTCTGCCAGTCCAGAGATGTCTCTGACAATCTTGTGGAGAATCTATAGTCTAGGAATGTACATTTGGATAAAGAAAAATGTAGTTTTGGCTTGCATTATGGGAGCTGTCCTCAAACCTCTGCCAGAACAAGACTCCCTTGATCACTCTCCTTGTCTCAGACTCTGCCAAAACATTTCCCCAGAAGCCAGCATTGTACTGTGCTATTTCAATCCCAGCTCTTTCTGGAGGAGATAGATGCAGCAGTAATAAGGTGTTCCCCAAAATGAGCATCACTTTTTCAGCATGCAGAGATTACAGGGTTTTCTTCCTGTTTTCTTTCCACTGTGCTGATGAATGAAAGTATTAAATCAAAATCTGTGGTTGCACCACAGGTTTGCCCTGCATATCATACAGAAGGGCAAGCATTTGTGCCTTTTACTTCTGATAAATATATAGATCATGTTTTACACAACACGCAGTTTTTCAGCAAAAACAGAAAAGTGACTGCAAAATGTAGCACTTCACTTTGGCTGTACATCTCTGATGTGAACTTATTTTACAATAACAACAAAAGCAAAATATTTAAGTCCATATTCAAACTGCTATCAGTTACCAAGATAGATGAGCTTGATTCTCATTCTGCATAAACTATAATAGACAGTCTGAATTTTCATTTCAGCTCAATTTAGAGTATGAAATAAGGAATATTCATCTCAGCCAAAGTCCTGACATTAGCTTGTTATAATGCTTTGAATTATTTGATTTTCTGCGCCTCTCATCCCAGATGTATCAAGATCACCCAACTCTTTGATCTAATCATAAAACGCCTTATGTAAGTTCTACAGGTTATTGTAATTGAGAATTTTATATAAAGTGGAATAAAATCAAATTATTTTTCAAGCCACTGCAATAATAAAGTAATATCAAGAAAAAGCATCTTTTACAGACTACTCATTCATTAGAAAGTGTTCCACTTCTTGGAAAAGAAGTTTCACTACCTCAGTTTCTCAGATTTTCATCTCTAGCCTGTCCTTTCACTTCTACCATTGCACAAAGTCTGACCGTAGTTCCAGCTACTGGTTGCACCACTGGGTATAGCAATGCGTCCCCTTATACATTAGTTTTGCCACCAGACTACAAATAGATCTGTGGATTAAAAAAACAAACAAACAAACAGATTATCATCCACAACCACACCCTTAACAAACAATTTAAAAAAAGAAAACAAAACACCACGACAAACCTGATCCTCAAGTCCATACTGACACCTTCTGTACTGTCTCATGTTTTCCCAGTATTTTGGTCAGTAAGCATGTAATTCCCAGAACAAAGCAAAAGCAGTGGAAGGATGTAATAAGAAACTCTGTTTTTATGGTATTTCTGGAAAAACATTATTCATTCCTTCTAGGACTTCCAATAGTCCTGTGATGAGAACATCAGTTTCTCAAGAACACAACTCTTCTCTGCTTGGAGTTATAATTATTTCTTTTCCTGTATTTTAGCTTTTGAATTGCAGAAACCAAGCATAACTCCAAAAATGAAGTATTAACATTTATAGCAAATTTTAGAGAGGAAGATGAGCCAAATTCCTTTAGAGTTTGTATAAAACCCAGACAGAATTCACCCTACAGATTTTCTTTCTAAACTAAAGACATTTTATAAAATAAACTATTTTCTTTTGTGTGTGTGCGTTTGTTTTAACTGAGATACTTAGAAATACCACTGAAGCATTAAATATAGTTTTGTAAATGTAAGCATTTGTCTAACTTTATTCTATAGAAAAAACAATAAACCATTATTTGAATTGATACAAGAAAGTATCAGATTTGGAAAAAGAAATAACCTTTCTTCCTCAAAGTAAATTCAAAAGTACATTCTTCTCTTGCCAAAGTACCAAATGGTGAATTCACAAATACTTGAATATTACAAAGCTAGTTCTAGAAAGACAGTTTTTCTGTCTTCTGAAAGACAGTGAGAGTACCACTAATAGCAGGGAGGATAAAAATAACAGTATGATAATGCAGCTAAGTATTCAAAGAAGTTTTCTGAGAACTAGATGAAACAGTGTGTATATCTCAAGAGAAATACTGTAACTTCTGTGGAAAGAAAAATATCTCATGGTGAAAAATCCAGATGTCAGATAGCTCAGACAATAACTTGAAGTTTTTTCTCATCTTTGCTTTTGGTAAGATCTTCAACATAGATGATAATGTCTAAAATGTAAGTGTCCTTCAACTTGGAAAGACCCTATAGTTCTGGGAGAGGTCATTTAAGAAAACAAATCCTCAGATGAACAGCTAAGCTTATTGGTTTACTACTTTGTTTCCATAAGTGTTTTTAAAATTCCTTCCTAGAAAATAAAATCAAGAAGATGACTTGATGAACAGTCTTACACCCACAGAGTGGCTCCTGACTGAGAAGGATTCAATCTGAATTAAAAAAAAAAAAAGGGAGGAAGTGATCAACATGGAGGACATGTTTTTCCCTTCTTGATTGACCATCGTTTCTTTCCTAAGCAAATGACTTTGATAAGTGTTTATTTGGCTGAATTAAAACATTTTCAATTTGTCTGCCCTGTCAGATTCTAATCTGAAAGGTTTCTCCAGCCCATCTACACAACACAGCAGGATGTTTATCAGGAAGGAAAAGAGGACAGTAGCTCTATGTCCTTTCCCTGTATGAATCTACTATACAGCTCTGCTCTCATTCTCTCACCTAAGTAGTGTCTCCAGCTAGCACTAGTGTACCTTACTACATGCACGTGTGTACATCATTACCAAGCCATTAAATTACATGGAAATATATAATTCCTGGTGAACAACAAAATGCCTTGTAGAATTGTACCATTTTTTTTTCCATCCAAAGGCCTCTTAATGTTTTGTTGGCTTTACAAATGTTCAGCAGCAAAATGCTCAATTATTTCTATATGATAAACTGAAAAACTGTACTATGATATAATAGATATAGAACATTTGGTATATAACCCACTGAAAGGAAAGAAGGCTCTGGTCCTCTTTATTGTTCTATCTTTTCATTTTTCCATTTAATCTCTTTTGGCCCAAATGACCATGCAGTATCACCTAACTTATGCCCAAAGGGAAGGCACACATCCAGCTGTTAAAGGACGTTGATATCCCGCAAACTGTTTATGATAGAAACAGTGTCCCACAAGCAGAAAGATTTGAAGGTGTAGCAGATCTATTGAAAAGAAAGCTGGATAAAATTACTATGTTAAAAAATACACCTGAGCAAAAGCCCGGATTTTTAAATCACTGAGTACTTGTCTATTTTCTCTTGATAGTAACTAGCTTGGAACAAATCTAAATAATCTAAATAAAGATTCTGTCACTAATGCCAAACTTTATCTGAAGTGATTATGCTTATTTCACAAAGAACACGGTGTAAGTGTGCAAATATTACATAAGCTGGACAGAAACCTATAAACTTGTTCATTAAATACTTCTGCTCTTTCACTGCGCTTGTGAAGAGTTTCAGGTTTGCTACATGCTATGAAAGCTGGCTTCTGCAAGCTTTCCTGTTTGTCACAGCTCTGTTAATGGTGGAAAATCACACATTGCTGCAGACATCAGTCTAAATTATTCTAACGATTTTGCTGAACAAGACTACAGCAAAAAAGTACCATGGAATTTATCTATAAAAGTCTGCAGCTCGAAGAACCACAGCTGTCTTGCCAATGAGAAGTTAATGTTTATTTGCACAGAGAACGGCCCTGAGAGGATAACAGTTATTACCTCCATATGCTTCCCGTGTAGCTTTACTACCAATCAGTATTGGTAGCATTTAGAGGGTACTTGGAAATACTCTCTACCAACCTGCAGGACATTTTCTTTCCATGAGATTCAGAACAGATTTTGGAGACAGAAGAAGAGGCAATTGTCTCTTCTCAAGTTAGGGCAATGAGGGGCAGAAAGCCCCGAACCCTTTGAGCACAAACATCCAGCAGGCTGGAAGGTACAAGAGCTACAAAAGTGATGCCTCCTATTTTATTATGCTGGCCAATAATCTGGTTCTCCATTTTGCTGAACTGTCAGTTAAGAAGTAACGTTTTTAACTTCATGATTTACAGCACAACTACGAGGTATTTCAGAATAATAATCACCAGCTACGTAACTTGCAGGCACAAAGTACAGTCACTGACCTTTTCTTGCTGTGGTTCCCCTTCTTGTTCCTACTCCTCCCACTTAAAAGGCTTCTCAGATTATGTTGAATGGATTCATCATTGAATTTTCACCATGTTTTGTCACATCCTATTGAGACATCTGTTTGAACTTGGGTATCTAAATATAGGCTATGTAAATAGGTGATTCAACCTAGTGTAGTTCTGTCCCAAATCTGCAGTAATTCTAATACAAAATACTGAAGAGCTTGTACCCAGCAGTGGGTTAATGACTATTTAAATATGATTCCCATTGCTTGGCTAACTGCTGCAAATTCATCACAAGTCCCAAAATAAGTTTAATCATTAAAAGAAGTTTAATTATCTGAAATTTCAAAGACATTATACCATAGAGATTCCAGTACTATTTAAAACACAACTAATTTCATCTATGCTCAATTAATTTAGCTCTATGAATCTCTAATCTTTATGAGAATCGCAAGTTTTCATTTGTAAGCCAT